TCTATTGTGCAATAATAGTGTCGTAAAGGATACTACATGCGGTCCTTATGCTAGTAGTTTTTAATTTTCAACGCCTAGATGGCACTATCAAAACAACCAAAACATCAGTTAGTCCTCTATTTGGGCGAGCTTAGTACAACTATGCACTTTTCGAGAAAGCAGAGATTTCTTCATTATTGTTTACTTGAGATTGAAACACTGAAGCAACCAATAGTGTAAGTCGAACAGTTCGTAATGGTCTTACTTAAAGCTTTGGAAATTTCGTTCAGTTTAAGTGGGGCATTTTTTTCCAGTCTCTGCGACCCCTGCACACATGAGCCCTCAACGGTCGGATCAGGTTCACCTCCACCTTCCCGGAACACGTACTGCCAGAGTGAGATTAGAACGGAAGTAGCAACATATTATCAATCCCCAGAGCAATAACAAAAACAGTGTAAGCTCTTGAAATTCAAAAATCCAGGATATGCGCAGCAATTCTGGTCTAGGCATATGCTTAAGGCAAACCAAAAGCAGATTTCCATGCGGAGAAATATTACTTTGATTGCTAACGAATATTGGCAACCGCAAGATTTTGTGTACTCCATAAGCATCACCCGCAATGAAACTATTCGATGCTTAAAAATTCACTATGCTTTCGGCTTAAACAGCGAGTCCTGAATAGAAAACGCTGGCCGTGAAAGTTTGTAAAAGCTAGCATTTGGGAAATCAAGAGGAAAAAATGTGACAAGAATGGATAATGAGGGGAAATAATGGGCAAAATTCACAGTGTTGGCAGAAAAGAGAGTATGGATTGCAAGACAGGGACAACTCGCTTCGTGATAGAGGCACTCAACATATCGGTTCTTACAGACTGTTTTATGAGCTCAGAACATAAAAATGGGAGAATCACAATCTTACTAATGGTAAAGCTTATGGTTTTTTGAGGCTCCATTCCCGGTGTTTAGGCCAAGGGAAACAATACAACGAGAGCATTTGGAGATGGAAAAGGAAGGTGAAATAAACGATAAGGAGTCACGGGTGCTGCAAAAGAAACCGAGCGGTACGGAAGGCTACCACAAGTCACCTGTGCCGCCAATTGAAAGCTTTTCTGATGATCGCTTCCATAACCCAGAAACAAAGGCAGGTAAGGCCCGGCTGTATGTAATGTTAAAAACCAGTTTTGAAGCTGCGCTTGTGAACCACGTACGATTTATTCAAATTCAAATTACATTGCAGAATGCCCTCATCAAGGTCTGGGTATGTATAAGAATGTTCTGGCGAATTGAAGAGCAAGCGCCTTTATTTTGGCAGAAACTACAGACTGTAATCAGATATTCGTGGGGAGTACTTTTAGCAGTATTATTCAATAAATCTATGTATTTCTGTGATGTACTTATCATTTTATGGAGGGAGATCAGGTTAGGCACGCATAATTTCGCTGAAACGAACGGACGGCAAAAGTAACATAGGAGGTAAGACTGATGTTCGCTTTCAACAATATCGACAGTCGCCTCCGTTTAAAACTGTGATCGCATTCCAAAGCTTTACTCTGCAGATGACCTAGTTAAAGTTTTGATTTACTGAGGTTTGGGCTTTGCTAGCACAATTTGAAGCGACACATTTATGTGAATTATACTTAAAACTCCTTCGGTTCATTTGATGACTGAGAGGTGATAGCTTAAGGGGTTTGGCAAGCATTGCATTTTATTTTCCCAGAATTTTAAGAATAACTCTGAGTTTATCTGTTGTGAACTTCTTCTGATATTTGTCTACATCAGGTCGCGAACATGGCGTCAAGAAGACTACAGAGGAAAGATTATTTGGACCATATTTTCCAGACGTGGCATCTGCGGCAAAAAATCTCAAAGCATGCTGGGTTAGCAAATTTTTATCCCCTAACACTGTCATCGGGTAATAATAGGGAAATCAAGTCCTCAACATAAAATCCATACGTTATCGTGCATCAAATAAACTTAGAGTTCAAGACGGTAACAGACTACAAAGCTAGAATAGTCACTGCAGTCTGCCGTTTTTAGAGTTAAGTCATCGCCATAAGAGCTTTAGAAATGTCTCGAAAAAAAGGAATTACATACTTAAATACTGTCTTTCATCTACCCTTAAGCTCATAATCTAGTAGGTTTCTTGTGGAAAGATTACAAGCAAATTGTTCGTGGCATCCATCAAACGCTTCTTTAAACGGGTAAATGTATTTTCGGTTGACCGTATATAAAGCGCAACTATATGAATGGGATAGACTTTCTCGAGGCAAAGATAAAACAACGGCCGGTCCTCCTAATATCGAAGTCGAGTACACCAGAAGGTGCACATGTCGAGAAAATTTTGTCCATTTATGATCTTAATAAACGGAACCCATTGGCTTATGAGATACTTAACATTGAACTTAGGCAAGACGTTGGCAAACTTGACTCCTATCTTTATTTCAAACATCTTTGCCAGTGGAGAATGGTAAGCGTAAATGCTTCCTGGATGTTCACAAATTCTAAAACTATTCTTCCATGCTATAGATTTATAAGACAATAACTGCACCATTTGACACACACCTCCTACTGGCTGATGTTTTTAGAAGTAATCGACCAGCTACTTTCTGTCAGGTTCCCAATAGAAACCGGCCTGCGAGGGCAACCGTACTTCGTTGTGATCTTTGGAAGGCAGATTTTTGGTCCGGTTAATTACTTACGCACCATATGCTGCTTAAAACACTTCATATATTAGCAAATCGTCAAATGAATTTTTATTGTACCGTGTGAGATTTTCTGAGCACCCACATTTGCCTAAGCTGATTGGAGCCATTTGATAGGAACTCCGTCTTAGCCTCGAAACGACAACCAAATTCTCCGAACTGTCTCCACTTGACGAATCGGCTCTTCAAAAAATAAATGGGTTACGCATGTCCACTGACCGTTCAGTGTAAAAAGGTCTTTGCCGACCAAACCAGGTTGTTTGGGGTTTAGTCAGCTTGTAGCGGCCAAAGACGTTGAGGTTAGCACACACACAGACGAATAGATCAACTAGGGTGTCTTTCCGTTTATGTAAAACTGGACAGAGTTGTAAACACCGCATCAGACAAGCATATATGGATGTAATAAAAAAAGGGGTTTCTATTGTATGAGATTTATGTTACGATAACAACTCGATAGAGTAAAACAGAAAATGACAAATACAAGAAGATAACGAGATACTGTACAATTAATCTATTTGGATTGGGAGGTAGTCATGTCATATCAGTTAGACGTTACTGCAGGTGAGAGCCGGGGGTGTGCTGACGATAAGAAAAACGAACGACGAAAGGATAGGGGGAGCGAGGGAAGCGGTATCAGCAGTAGGAAGGTAGGCAACACCGGTCATCTTTACTACTACACGATCGCACCGAACCCATCCGGAATCCGCGTCAAAGTGACCTTAGCTGGTTCAAACAAACCTGTTGGGCCTGCGAAGCGTTAAAAGTTGTATTCTGTATTTCCTACTGCTAACTTCGAATGTAACAGCATATCAAAGGCAATATTCAAGTAGATAAGAGATCCCCTTCATCAGATGTCCCTGCTCACAGGCAGATGCAGGACGTTCTAAAAAGAAAAACCCGGCTGCCGCGTTTCGGTCGGAAAACAGGGTAGATTAGCGAACGTCATGTTCTCAACCTCCCAGTTGTATTACAGACTTCGCCGTAATCGTAAATTTTGAAATGCCTTTGCGTTTTCTTCGAATTTTCATGATCATGCAGGGTCTTTGTCCCACCCCTCTCCTGTGGAAATCTGGCACTTGTCTGCGAGGACTGGGTCATGCTTATGGCACACGCAGACCGGCAGCTTTGTTAGCTACCACGCCCACGGTCACGCCCCGGCATTTTAACGTTCTCTGCCACCGGAGGAAGGTGGGTGAGGGAGGAGAGAGTGCGGTGGGTGCCCTGCAAGTGTGCTTTACTACAAACTAACTCATGCGCAAGCCACCAATGTTGCACCCACTCCGTGGGGAACATGGCGGACGTAGTAGATCGCAACGGTTGAACTGTCAGGCTCTTTACACGCGGTGTCTATCCCTCCATAGTCCTGACGGAGGCATTATCCACCCTACTTTCTGTGAGAACTTTCGTTGTCTTGACATAACTGAAAAATTCTACTGACGAAGACGGCCACTAATGACAAGGGCGTAGTGGCCGTCGTCTGCCGACAACGCTCGACCCTCTGGCCAGCAAGGCTGTATGTTGATTTTTTCTAGAAAACGTGCTGAAATTATTGTTTCCTAAGTTTACGTCAGTTTACGTCCTGCATAGAAACCATGTACTTCTCTTTCAGACGCCGCACCTATACATACACGGGAAATATATTGCCGGTGGGAGAGATATTATTGAACTGCACGAATCGGGAAAACTGTACAAAATCCTTAGGGAAAATGGATTCTGTTAACTTTGAGGATTCGTGATGCACTGACTTTGAAAAAAGCAAATAAAAGTCTCCTCCTGTGTCTTAACTACTACTTTCCGGATAGTAATGGCGATCTAACTCAACAGTGTGAGCTTTACTACTGGAAACATTCGTGCTATGGCGAAATACGCCACTTAAGACAGATCAGGACGGCCCGCATCTGTAGTTGGTCCAGCAAAATGGGGCCAATAACTTACTGTTTCGGTTTCCCTGAGCCCGCTCTAACATGGTCCTTATACTGTTTTGAGGGAAGGTATGGCAGACTGACTTTTGCGGGAATCATAAGGTCGGAGTTTGGGTCAGCTTAAGAAGACAATCTCTGAACAAATAAGTACGCGGGCATCCCGGTCCCATTCAAGTGTTCCGCTAGTACACCCAACACACATACCGTAAAACAACCATAGGCATCAGTAGCGCAGTTCTTAAGGAAGAAATTTGGGCGGTCGAACTTTTGGGTGTCAGCAGTCAAAAATTTTAAAAGTACCGACTCAACAGTTTAGTAAAAAGTACAAATTTATTTACAAATAACTGCAAAGTCTGGTGCCCACAAAAATTACAATCGTACACTTCCGTTGTGCAGGATTAGCTGATCATGCTGGGTTGCCGACCTCTGCCAGAAGAAAATTTCGGGTTCAATTCAAGGTCGCGAGTGTTGCCATAGAAGCGATTACTGATTTCGTTCTCCACGAGATATTCTAGTCCACATTCGTCATATTGACTGCGGGTTGTAAAGCCCACACCCGTTTCGACTGCGGCAAGACTCCATTTGCGTGCACCGTGCCAGGCATCTAAACTTGGATTAGCTGAAACAGAAAGAGAAAAAACAGCCGTGAGACCAATCCTCTGTCAGGTATGTGGCTATTTAAATAACATTATATGTGTGCATGAGTAGGAGATGTGTAAAATCGTTGTCGCCAGTGATTTCAGGAATAATCTTTTGTGGTTAGATGAACTGAGTAGTACGACTTTCCTGCCGCGGCTCTAAATATGTTAACTTAAACATCTAAATGGTGAGTGGAAATGCTGCAGTGAGCCTGGTGTTTAAGAGCCTGCATTTCCCAACCGCCACGAGCTGCATCATCGTAAAAACGGTTGCAAAGTGAAGGGCTTTGGATGACATTAGAGGCAAAACATTGTGTACGGGAAATCCAACATTCATCTAAGAAGAATAGCATACTGGTGCAGCAATGGGGCCTAGTTCATAAGAGATGGGCACACCCGTTCGTTCTACGTAGCTTATTCTCAAATGAAAGGATCTCGACTCGGACCGGGACTCGGATAATAGTGCGCAAACGCGGTTTCACATCGTGCATCAAATGCGGTCATGATTATCTTGGCAGAAGTCTCCTACGCTCTCAATTTGGTCCTTTAGCTAGGATCACATCGAAAAGGGAGATTTCAATGGAGTCAGGGAGAGGCCGCGTGTATCCGACTGATCCGATGCTTGACCTTATTACTGTAGAAAGATCGCCTCCACGCGGCAGTCTGCGAACTCACAATCAGATGTAGCCCGAAAGAAAACGCAGACCGCGAAGGCAGAAGGGTTTATTTCCGCTTAATGGGAACTTCGACAGGCTTTGCGTCTATCGGGGGATGGCGCACTGCGCATCTGCAGAGTAGGTCGTCAACACATCAAAGTCAACAGCGTGGTCGATATTCATTGTATACTCACTTTGACACAAAGCCGTGGTAATTTTCGAGAGTGCTGATTAACCCGGTGTCAAGTTACCATACATCGAGTCCAACCAGAGGCGGTCCAGGCTACCAACGCCCAACCCATCCTGGAATGTAAGCCCACAGCAGCGACACGGTTGGCACACTGGACACTCTTCAGTACTGCTTGCATGCTGTCATAGAAACCTCTCTGCTGTATACTGTCCGCATCCATGTCGCATCGTTGGCGACAGCACGGTGAAGACGCAGACGCGTGTGAGGCCTTGTGACATGGTAACTCGAGAAGAGGCAGCCGGAACGCGAGTCCGCCCGAATTCACAGTGACATCAGGGCGGCAGGGACTGAGGTAACTGTCGATGTCTGATAACTTGCTACTGCGCCAGTCACGACCCGGTAAGTTCAACTTGGACAACTGGGAAGCGTCTACGTTTGAGTGGCCGGGTGCTGTCTTGCCAATGCGAGTGGGATCCTTAACTCATCCGCACCAATCCGCCCTTTTTCCGACGTCAACCAACTTGCGGACTTATCAGCGAGCGTTGCGATTTAATAACGTACATAGGATTTGTTGAAAATTTTTTTAAAAACTGTATCTCTGGTCCTCAGCTCGGCCTCTGGGTGGGTATCCGATCAGCAAGACAGTCGAATTAAGAAGAGTCTACTTAGTTATAGTTTATAACCGCCATGTGGCACTGTAATCACTCCCGCTGGTCGCCTACGAATGCCTATTCATCACTTATCCAGAATCCTCACTGCTGCCTACTTTTCTCCAAAATCGGCGGACACGACAGGTAGCCGGTCCACATGAACATACCTCTGTGTGATTTTTGGAAAAACGGAAGATACTGCGGTCCTAACCTGCAACAACGACCTCGAGGTCGGTTCCGTCCTCCTTCCAGGGAAGTAGCTGTTGCAGTTCAATCTGCAGACGTTCCTTCATGCCAGGTAAGTGAGCAAGTCCACCGGTAATGAAAAGACGCTTAGGAACCCAGGCGGTGTGACTCCCATCTTTGTACAACGCCACGGAGGAGTCCCGAAGGATCCATGAAAAGCACTCGCCCACTCCTGCCTGTGGGCTCCCGATGAGACTTCGTTCGAAAAGGGCTTCCGTAGCACTACATTCACAACAAATGTCAAAGATGAGGAGGATTAAAGGCAGTTTCGGCTGCCACTCCAGAAGCAGATAAACTCGTTGTGGATAATAAATCGCATAAATTATCCGAGGCCCAGCTTTTAGGCCAAAACTACAAAGACCCCGTGGTGGGGGCAAAATAAAAGTTAAGCTGCATCTCGAATCAAGAAAACTGAGGAACAGGACTTACCGAATGGGTTCAGTCCCAATATTAAGAGTGTAATATTCAGCTATGTCAACTTTGAGTCCTGTAGTTCCGGCGTCTCTAAAAAAGGTACATAAATGATCGTGTATGAGCTGGGTAAGCACAAACATTACGAGAGATTTTTGTCTAGCATTCCAACCAGTTGTAGGTTTCGGCTTGTCAATACGCAAAAAGGGCAGCCTAAGAAGATAGTCAATGTGCTTAAATATGGCTAATTAGTCCATTTGATCCAAAAGTTGAACTCAAGGAACAGTGGGTGACGCCAGAAAATGTAAGCTTGCAAAATAAATCAGCATGGAGACAAGGCGTTTCTAAGGCTATTTTAGGCAGGATATTTGATAATGCACGTCTGCCGTACAGTTGTAAGTTTTATACACTTACTTCACGAACTCCGGGTCGTAAAGGGCGCGTACGCTATCAAGAACGGCCAGTTGATCACGTTCACATTCGCTAAGATCGCTCAGGTCCTCGAGACGATCGAACGCGTCACGGGCTCGTGCACCACTGTTACTGCAGGTATTATTGCCATTGCTGAAGGGGAGGAGTGAAGATGGTGATACAGGCACGTTGAGCGCGTCCGTGTGCGATGACAGTGCTCGGGGTTCCAATTCATCGAGGCAGTCAATTGACTCAATGTCATCGTCCAACAGCGTGATTTTAGAGTCTTCATTTCCCAGCTGGTCCAAACTGTCTGCGCCTTCTTCTAGGAGGCTGGGGGAGCCAGTGCCATCCATGGTGTTCTCAGTACTGACACTGTCGACGATGCTCCGACCAGAATCCTTCCGCGATATCTATCGAGATATCTTAATATTACTACTAATTTTACAAAAGTAGGTATTGTGTCATGATTTCAATTTTGAAAAAGTTTGAAACGGGCGAGATAGCCTGGGTGAAGAAAGCTCGTTCTACGAAACAGCACTTCAGTACCATACCTTTCTGGCAGGAGCGCGAGCTGCACGGGCTCCTCGTCCCCTGTCTCCGGTATTCAGGGACTTTCGGCTGCCGCGACCCCTTTCAGGCTTCAGTTCCGCTGCCATAGCACGGATCTTCTCCAGCTGCCTCTGCCGCCTCTCGTTCAGTGACCCCTCCTCCACTCGAGAGGTCTTCCGCTCAAGGGAGACAACAGATGCCGCCGATTCCGTGTTCTCGGCCTTCAACGCGCCATTACTTGTCAAATCGACGGCCGGTGGTGCGTTCAGACCCAGCTCCGTGGCAAAATCTATACGGCTCTGCCTGGAAGAACGCTGTTTGGCCAAATGTTGGCGTTTGTGCCGTAAATCTGACAGCCACAACTTTTGAGGGAGAGAAAAATAGAGGGAATAAAACAGGAGGTGTTAGTACAAATCAATGTTCGCGAATGAAACGTGTACTTTGGTTGGGCAGTACGCAGAAAGGTGTAAATATCAGTTCTGCAGGTAGGTGCAGTAGACGTACCAAGTAGTCCTCACCGCGTCTGGCTTCCAGGTCCGCAGCAGCCATAGTTCGCTAAAATCATGAAAAATAAAAGACACTGTCACTGAATCGTGATGGGAAACGTGTGGAGAAGATGGACATAATTGTGGCATTCGAGTGCACGTATAATTCTTGGGTAAATCAGGACGTGGTAACCGGAAAGTCGGAAACGCAGTCGCCCGTCTTTTGTGGTGGTAAAGTGAGGGGTCAACCTCAGTAGTAAGAAAAAGCCACTTATTTCCACTCACCCTGCGCATCTTTTCCTCATTCAGACCCACAGCGGAGGTGGTGGTTGCGGAGGTGATTTGAGCCTGAACGGCCGCCGGCAGGGCAAATGAGGCCAGAAGTTCTGTAGCCTTCTTCTGTCGCAAAAGGAGACAGTTCTCCTTGGCTTTGTTTAGCGAGGCTTGCTCCAGGGATACCTTGGCGATGGAATGTGCTACGCTCACGTTTCGCTCGATTTCCGCCTCGCGCTCCTCATCCTCGTCTGCGCTGGAGGCGGGTGAAAGGGAGGCCGACTCGGTCTCCTCACCTTCCTCGTCTTCATCGTCACGGGCATGCACGCGTTTAGAGGTGACGGGACGACGTTGTTTCCTGCTGGCAATCGACTCCTCCTCTTCCTCGTCCTGCTCCTCTTCTTCCTTCTTCAGATTCTGTAGGGGAGGTGGAAAGTAAGGCACAAAAACTAGCAAAAAGGTGCGCAGAAAAATCTCCTGTCAGGGCGATCGCAGTGCAGATGAGAATGTGTAGGAGAACGGACGGCGAGGGCCGTCGTTTTCTTGCACCCGCCACTCACCAGAGAAAGACTTGTATTTGTGTGAGGAAAAGTCAGTATCAGATGCGAATAAACGTAGAAAAATTCGAACAGGGAAGCCGCTGATTGACGGGTGCGACTAGCCCCAACTACTGATGCTGTTCACCATAACTATCCCAGAGTTTGATAATGGGAACATTAATAAAGTAGGAGGGAGTATGCCTTATGGTTCGCAAATCTACACTTATCATTTCCGTCTCTGGAGAGATATAGTGTCTGTAAAAAAATTACAATGCCGAAAGTCTGGTACATAAAGTCCAGATTTTTTGCCCAACATAGATCATCTTGTACAAATAGACTACGGAGACTCCGATTCTGGCTTTTTAAGCAAATCTGCTCGCCGGGGCAGGTGGATAGTACCTTTTTGGGGCAAGCTGATTATTGCGCAGACGAAGCAAAACATCATCAAAGTCGTCGCCATAAGGCATTCCATCAAATTCAACTGCGCAATGATCTGACGAGATCGGAAGTACCACATCATCAGTTTGCCAGCTGTGATTAAAACTGTACCGATTCTCGGTGTAGCCGATCCTACTGAAACTTACAGCTGACGGGGTCGGTTTTGTGATGATTGCAATGAGGTCACAAGATTGAAAGACGTCGGAACTCGAGTTTATTAGCACTGCGTATATGCGACAATTATGTTTCGGCCATTTATACTAAAAAAAAGGTGTGAGGTCTATTTGAGCTACACTTGAGTACAGAAGCCAAGTACGCAATTGGTGGATAAAATTTATTCCAAAAGCTTTGGATGCATGTTGCCTGTCGCATCATGTTTTCCCTCGCTCAAACCTGTTATACTTCGATGGAGGAGGGCTTTACTACATTATTGCTGTCTAATCGAATGAAAGCCGCTTAGTAACTTGGACTCCCTAAGACAGTCGTTGTGAACGTTGTTTAGACTGATTTGATGGTAGTGCTGCACTATATGTCAAGATACTTACCTCCACTGACCAATTTATCCTATTAGTGGTGGAGGGGCACTCACCGATCGCTCTTACGGAGCTCACTCGTCTCGTTGTGCCTTACGGGCTCTCTCTTGAGCCCAACCAGCAGCCACACAGCGGCGCATGATATAGGCGGAATGTGATTACCGACAAAGACAAGGCAGACTGCAATGGTCATCTCTGGCTTATTAGCCGTCGTCAGCCAGCCATACCCAAGCCTAAAGTGTGGAACACCCGAGCCTCGAACTCGCGACATGTTGGTTTAGAAGTCCAACGCCTTTAACCACTGAGCCCTTTTATTGCGTTAACCTCCCTCCCACCTACTTTATCAACTCTAGCTGACCCGGTCCTCTGTTAGAATTTAATAAAAGCAATACTACTTGCTGTGACTTCTGCCGGTCAGGTTGTGTCCTGCGTTCGGGATTTTGCAGTTGCAGGAAGTGTCCTCTTGACAAACATACCAGAAGTAAACATACAATGCTGCAGACCGAATTCCGGGTCGACAACACTTGCATGCTTTATAAACCGACGGACAAAGTTCGGAAACCGATTGAAAACGGCAGTGGCAAGCTGTTGGTTTGCTTATACTAGTTTGGACGGCATAAGTGCGTTACTACAGTACCTAGCCTATCCCTTGAAATGCTAAAACTTTTTTGACGGGACAGAATTACTTAGGTGGGTTGTAATATTGGCTGTTGCGCAGCATAGGCCAATGATATTCCGGCCACGCCAGTGCGCACCTTTCAGGTCAACTACAAAAACAACACTTGACGAAATTGACTACTTAAGTAGCATGAGTTCCTCCGAGTTATTTGCGGTTTCCTCATAAATTCCAACACATTTTAAGGGAAGCATGCGTAGAAGATATCTTTAACCGTGCTCATTGGTTAGAAAATGATGTCTTTTTCAAATCTTGTGGATAAATACATGTTTGAGCTTTGAAAAACTTTTTCGATTCGCGGACAATTTTTGACCCGACTTGCAGTTACACTTGCGCCTAGGGTTTCAGAATTGCATAATGCGTATTTTCCGTGTGAGGGGAAACTAAATTCCACTGCATTTTTAAGACATATGGGGCTCACAAAATCCTGCAATGGGTGTAGACTATGCTGTATACTTCGTAAACAGAATTAATAAACGAACATACACGATGTTGTGCGGGTGGACGCTGCACGGCCTTTCTCGGGTACAACATTCCAATAATTTGCAATCAAATGACCACAATAAAGAGTATTTGTGCGCATGTTTTCTGTAAAATATACTTGAATTTATAAGGACACTGAAGGTCAACCTAGAAAACATATGCTACTTAAGTAGTCGATCTCGCCGAGTATGATTGTTGCAGGCGGTCAGAAATATGTGCATCCGAAGGCAGGCGCTTTGGCGTGGTTGAAATATCTTGGGACTACGTGTCACTATGATCAATATTACTACCCCCCAGCCAAGTAATCCTTCCCCATCGAAAACACGTTTCAGGTTCTTGGTTAACATTTTCATGAGATGGGCCAGATACTGTAATTCTGCCAGCCCCCAATGCAGAAAAGGCACCCCACAGCCAGGATGGGAACTGTGTTTTCCGATTGCCCGATTCGTCAGTCAGGAATCTCAGGCTGGGTTGCTGCCCTTCCCGTTGCCGACTGCAAAAACGACGATGATAACCACAACCCTGGGAGAAGGGGTGTTACCGCGTGTGCTGCATTTTGTCCAGTGTGAAGAAGGCGAACACGGCGGCCGGCAACATATGACTCCACCCTCTTCCATGGGCGCACCAGGCTTGATACACGACTTCGCAGGCGTTGGTGAGGCCTGTCACACGTCTCATCTGATTTTACTCGCCAGTCACGACATTAGCCGGGATGAAGTCGCTCAGCTAAGCACTGGATGAGAGCTCTGCAGCGCGTATAGGGTGAAATGGCATGTTCATCACGCACGGCATGCGACCTTCAATCCAATAAGGTGTGCGTCTGGCCTGTTTCCGGGTAGGTAACAGAGGAATAGACGACGCATATTCTGAAAGTGGCTGCAATAGTGCCCGTCACGAGATCCCAGCTCAGCGCAGTTTTGAAGTTATGACGGTGGATGCCTAGTAGATCTAGGAAGTTCCGGTCACCCGCTCTCGCGGGTTCGTAGTTTGCGTAAATTGCGTCAAGACATGCTGGCTGACAGCTGCCTTAAGGGCAGAATAGTTAGTCACTCCCAGTCCAACCGTCCCATCGAGTGGGCACGGCATCGGTGACTTACGCGCAAATTATTGTATAAGGAAGCCGACTTTCGCGGCGCCTACCGCACTCTCTCCCCCCTCACAAACCCTGCTCCGATGGCAAGACAGCGTGAAGACGGCCGGCTATGGGCGCGGGCGCAGAGACTGACTGCGCGTGCCACACACAACCTCGTCCCCACCGCGTTTACCAGGCTGCTTTAAGGACGGCTCGGACTCCCTACGCGTGAGAGTGCCATGGCGGTCTAATTAGGAGGGGGGGGGGGCATTGTAACCTGGCTCGCAGTCCCCGATAGGGCCAACACTGTTATCCTGTCGGTTGGCAATCTTCTGGGCCACGACACTTCGCGCGTTACGACCGACTTGGGGACGTCAGGTTTATTATAGTGAGGAATGCGTTAATTTGCCACGGGAATGGGTGCCCCAGTGTCGACCTCATCCTCTCTCTCCAATCCCATGCACCGGTCGACTGTCCGAGCCTGTCAGTTAGTTGGACACAATTGCCCTCGTGGCGTGGAGGTCTACGTATGGGGGCGCCACCACACTCCTGTACGGTCGCGTTTATGGGCTCGTTCGGACTCTGCGCAGCGTGGTGTCACCTAACTTTTGGTTCAGCGGGCAGTTCGCCGAGGGAATGCACAACCCAGAAGGCGTTTGTATCGCCATCTCGTGTCCCTCAAACCAAACAGATCGCTAAAGTAACTGGGGCAGAATTTGCCTGCGTGCATGGCAGGAAACGCACAGGGGAAAGGCGGCGATGGAAAAAAAAGAACGGGACAATGCATGTAAACTCACCATCTTCTCCAGATGCCGCCTTCGGTGCAGTTCCCGCAATCGCTCCGCTTGCAGCTGTCTGCGTTCAGCAGCTTCATTCGCCTTCTTTGTTGAATGCTAGGGAGTAGAAAGTAATTGTAAGCCCATTGCTCAGCGCCTTCAAGGAAGCATCGAAAGGGGTCACTAGACAGGGCAAATCAGGGACACTTCGTGCTACAAGTGAAGTCTTTCCAGGTACCCCAGTGGAACGAACAGCAATACACACTTTGAGGCCTGCGGGGCCGTGAGGAAGGATTTCCGGCTATCTGTTGCACCGTGTGCAAATACTTCACAAAACCCTCGTTCTCTCCCATTCTCATCAAATTAGACCAAATGTGTGCCTCCAAATTCATAAATGCATGGAAATTGTCTCTCATCCAAGAACCTAAACTCCGAGGTGCAGCAGTCATGACAGTTCGACCGTGGTGTCCGACTATGTCCACCGTGTGCTCCACAGCAAGGTGAAGCAGGCACAGTGACTTGCACGTAAATTTGTAGCATCTGCCACACTCCCTTCACCTCCCCACCGGGGCCCAGTGTCAAGAGGACGGTGTCAACCGAGTGCCCCACGGAGTGAGCGCAGCACTGGTGACTTGTGTACTACTCTCCTTCTCCTCCTCCTCACCTGCCTCGCCCCGATGGCAGGGCAACGTCGAAATGATCGGGGGCGGGTTTGGGTGCAATGGCTGCCAAAAACAAACAGCCCGTCTACGCGTGCCACGGACGCACGGCCTTGTCCCCACCACGTGCGTCAGCCTACGCTAAGATCGACTCCGACCCCGCCGTTATGAAGGCGAGTTAGTTGGCGAGGATGTTTAAAGGCTGGGACAGGAAATGCGCAGAGATTAGTGTTGAAAACATCGCACTGGGAGAGGGAAGCCTCAGATCGTCAGAATAAGCGAGCTGGCCGTTTCAGTAACCCGTACCGCCTGGTTCTATCAGTCACGCCTTTGAATTTCATTGCAGATGGTTTAGAATCAAAAAAGCATGTCAAAGTGATTCCCGCTGGCTAGGGCACTTTTTGATATTCTAATAACTTACGTCCGAGTGGTCAAGATTCCATTTCTTCGTATTGCTTGTCCGGTAACTTTCATTGGCCCACTTGTTCATCTCCTCTCGATAATTTTCCGCGACGCGCCCAAAGGTGCGGACGAGTTGCTGAAAGCGTGTTGTGGAATAGAGCATTTGATCATCAAGAATGTTAAAACGGCTTAGCATAAATACTACAAATTACTTAACTGAGAGGCCTTCAACAAGATGATCAGAAAAATAAAATCCCAGTTGCTGGCGAAACGTAAAGTTTGAGTCTTAGAACAGGAGTAAAGCCCTCTCAGGCCCAGTCTGCTACAGGTTTCGATATTTGCTCACCTACAGCTCGACACACTTTTTCGTCCAAGTCCGGCTTTCGGAGACGACATCTAATAGTGATGTGTGCCGTAGGCGGGTGGGGCCATGACTGCCTTACCGAAAGCTCGTTGGCCATTCCGCATCTGAAGCAGTTACTTGGTTCATCCCCGAAAATTGGAGTGCAGCACTTTTTATGAAGTCGCGCGGTTTCCTGTCGGCTTTTTATTCTGCGTGGAGTTTAGACCAGGATCACTTTATATATTAGCACAAGCATATGGCGTTAACATGATTTCCTGACCTGATAGGTAATTTCAACCATATCGTCTGTTTCTTTAAAAAGGCCCCACACGTAAAATGCCCTTTACCACTACTTCCGTGCCGGAGGTGGTCTTGCGTCGCCTCGACCAACCTCCTACTTAAGTATGCTGTAACTCAGGAGAGGAGAAGGTCAAGTTTGGCACAAACTCACTTCGGCAACCGTAGTAGTGAGGCGGTCGGCATGGCACTGATACTTGAGGGCCAGCAGCTGCTGCAAATACCAGGCCACATGCGCCCCACCAACGCCAAGTCGTCTACAGGCGGGCGGAATAAGGCCAAGAGGATGAAATTGAGGACCAGAGAATGCCATGACGTGGGTGTTATGGTACCCGAAGGAAACAAGGAGTGTATCAGTCCCTGAGGTGTATAAGCGAGAATAATTAAGCCACAGGCGCAGGTGAAAACAGTTGAAACAGATGGTGGACTGGAAAAAGGATCAAGACTAGTCAGCCAATAAATTCTTGAAAGGGTCCTCACAACCTGCTTGGGCATTAAATACATCTAGTGGTTCCACGGGCTGTAGGTGCCCACTGGCTCGTGTTGAAAAGGAAATCATCACTGGGAGGTGCTTCCACACGCCAGCCACTGCGTCTAAACAAATTGCTCGTCATGTTGAATCTGACTTGTCACTATTAAACGACCAGAGGATGGCACTTACTTCCTCACTATGCCTCATTGGACGCGCTTTTAGACTGTTACGACACACTGGAAGTGAGGACTTTGAAAGCTGCGAACTGATCGGATAAGGCACCCCTCCTCCTCCTCCACCTCCTCTTCCAAACTCCAGATCAGGCTGCAATATCTCCTTCACTTATGCGAGCTCCGAGGTACTGACGCCCGGTTCGTAACATGCGCGAACAAGGACTTTATGGCAGGGCGGTCGCTGCGTCCAGGGGCACCTCCACTCGTACGGGCCTCGCCTTAGCATTAAAACGGGATGTGTATAGAAAAGCAGGGAGGGAAGTTGGTGATACGGTGGTCTCCACCGCTGTAATCCAAGTCGCGCGCGCAAGACGTCGCCTCCTTTCTGGATATTTAGCGGCCGAGCAGCCAGAGGGGGAACAAGGCCTGAGCAACACCAGCCAGTGACAGTGACCACACAGGTGCTCAATAAAGCTATTATTATCACATAAAGTAGGGGATGAATTCCAAAAACCTCACTGTCGGCGCAAAACGTCAAGTCTCTCGTCTTATTATGTTCAAGCTTTTAAATTGTTTTTTTTGGTACACCTGGATCTCCAAGTTGCAATGACGAATGCAACCAGATTGTCATTCTGTGTGCTTGGTCTTTCATCCTCAGTCGAATACTTCGCCAGCGCCAAAGGAGGTGGAAACTAACAAAGACAACTCGAAAGTCATAGTATGGTAGTCAAGGTATTTTTTGTTTCCACGGAAGTAAATTTCAAAGACGTAGGTTGGTCAGATGAACTCCGTGCGAGGGAGTTCCGTGCCGAAAAGAGCATACTGTATACTGGTCAGGGCTGGTTGAATTTGATTCTAATTTGGGTAGAGGCGACGTTCACCTAGGTGACTTGACTATTACAGTGATAAAGAAGATGAATGCACGATTACTGGGACGGTATGTGTGTTAGCCCAAGCTTTCGGTCTTGTAGAGGACGCCATCATCAGAACCCGTGAGAATGCGGCTCAGGCTAATGCAGACACTGGCCCAGTGATCACGCGTTCATCTTTGCAGCAAGAACCTGGGACTCGCACATTCGCTTCAAGTTCAGTGATACTTTGCATTTATTCAGTGCTCGTCGCAGTACAACTGCCTGCGGGAGATTGGCAAAGGAAGGATAAAGTAAAAGGGGACACCCGCAGAAGGTTCTGTAATCAACCCAGATCGGCAGAAGCGGTTCGTGCTGGATTTTTAATAGTTGCGATCGCAGCTTGAGGGATGCGAGGCCGTAGTTCATCTGGCAGGTTGGTCGACGAATGCCAATGACCAGCTGAGTGCGGGCTCAAATCTCAGGTGGCCTCCGCCTAAGGGTGGGATGTGCTCGGCTAGTTATGCGAGTTATCGTCATTTCAGCCCTTTTCTTTGTTGGTAGTACCTCTCCCCCTTTGATCTACTGCCGTTCAAAATGGCGGTGCCCTCAGCAGATTCGGCGGCCGTACAGCAGGCTATTCGAAATGACCTCAGTCTTAGCTGAAAACAGCCATGGCCGTCGGACTGAAAGTTTGCATGCAGCAGACGGCCCTAGGAAGTGAGCGTTTTGTTCATTGGGGGCTGAAGAATAGTATTTCTGCTGTGAAATGGTAAGACAGAACTCTTGTTTGACGAAACGCCTACGGAAAACCTGAATTTTAGGGAAACACCAAACAGACCTCGTGCCACAGAATTTCAGACTAAAATGAAGGCACTGGCACACTACCGCCTAGCTGTCGTATTTACGCAAGGCAGGTAGCCAAAGCAATCGAAATTCCTTTAGCCAAGATAGCCTGATATTAGAGCATTTGAAACGAATTCTAGTGGTCAGCGGTTCAATCACGTTTCTGAAAACAAAAAACATTTTCTACATGTACGAGCTGCCCCTTTCTTACAGTCAAGTGTAAGACCTACGATCTATGAGAGTTGTTTTAAATTTTAAAAAAGTTAGTCAGTGTATCTCAATCGCACTTCACCAAAAACTTACGGTCACTGGCGGAACCGAAATTTGAGTAGTAGGAAGAGAGACCATCAACAAAATATGCAATCTTTTCGACTGAGTAGGTCTCCAGGAGAAGCTGAGTAACCTCTGAATGAAAAGTTGATGGTTAACATTTTTACAGGGTCATACGTGCACGGCACTTCTGTGGACAACAAAGTGCCTCAGTTAAAACAATTGGGCTGGTTATAGACGAAGATTCCGAGCAGAGTTTCTGGAATACGTGATCGAATACGGTCTCCTGGACATCGAGTTGCGTCACGAGATTGTGTTCAAAGGCTGACTTTGGATTTAGTTGACTGGGGTCTATCGTTGGGTCATGCTCACCAACAAAGACAGCCTTCTGCCGAGATCTAGACTTCAGCACAAGATTCCGGAAAACGAGACTGGGTTCTTGCTTGAAAGAAAATCCAGCACGACATTCGTATGCTCCATTATCTACGACAATCGGGTACTCCATAGGGTGTGAGACACAGGCCGATCTAAAAAAAACAAACCAAGTCGCTGCTTGCATTTTTGCTGATTCATAAAAGTATATTACAGTAGAGGACCTTCATAGAAGTCTGTAAAGACGAACTTCTTAAAATGTCTCCAATGAGCACTGAGTGTTCCCTTTTTAAAATGACCGGAAAAAAGCGCTCATTTTACTTACCACAATTTGGAGGCGGCATAGTCAAAATTACCAATAATTCTTTTGAAAGTGGAGCATCGGTTCACCCAGTAAAGCTTTACTCACAGATGAGAACATCAGTTCACCACATGGGATGCTGTGGGTTAAATTGCATGGATCCGCAGTCAAGAATTTAATTACAGTCCTTTCTCATTTCCGTAAAAAGAAACTAGTCACTAGGACATTTTCGCTCAAGACGTCGGGACACACCGCATTACACCCTTCGCAATATTATTAAGACAAGGATTGAAAAAAATCCACTGAATCGTACATAGCCGTGATGCTGTGAAACATAAATTTTGATTTATAAAAGCCGAAAAGTGGTTATTTTATATAAGAGTAAAAAAAACCCTATTTTTTTCAAAAAGCAGGAGCCCTATTGTCTCCTACTTCAAGCGTATGTGCTGTTAGACAATAATTCTGACCCAAAACTGCCCTATTACTGTCCAGACGTGGTTGACAGAGCTGCTTTTTAAACTCCCCGCTTTGTTTATCCGTTTTGATCTTGGTTCAGCTAATACTAAACCCGTTAGCTGCGGTCCACTTGGAGGCCTAAATTTATTTTAATCTAGTGCTCTCCAAAGCGGCTTCTGCTCGCCTGCCGCATGTCGGTTCGCTTATGATGCCCCTCTCAGCCAGTCGGTGTGCTGCAGATCTTTTCCAGGCACTAATTCAGTGGATGAAAAATGTGACCAAACATAACGCTACGGCAGATTAAATAATCGTAAAATTACAGTAAACACTTCGAATTCTCTGCCTTGGCATTCGCCACGAAACAGCATTTACCATTCCTAACACCAAGCGTCAGTAATTAGTTAAACTTTAAAGTAGATCGCGTGGCATGTAGTAAAATATTAAACGAATGTAGGCGTGAAGTCCCAGTACTATGGGTTCCGTATACTAGTGAAAACAAACACATCCGAGTTCGGATACCTTGGGGAAACACGATTTGAGGAAAAAGTGAGAGTGACGACGACATTGCCGTTTAGATTTCCAAAAGCAGTCAAGTCTTCGACAGACTGCAATATTCCGTGTCGAACCCCTACGGTATCCTCTTCAACACTAAACTAGAAATGCAAAAAATCTAAAACACTTCCCAGAGCCACGCAAGTAATGTCAGGCGCTTACGCCACGATTTCTTCAGCTGTTTCTAAAGATTAAGAGGCAATAACAGATTCCGGACATCTAGGTCCTGGGATTGACAAACAGTAGCGCCTACTTGCGATGCCGAAGTGGATGCAACTTCAATGAAGTAATTGTGTAATGATGTTACAAAGAGTCGTCTGCTAAAATAACTCTTCTATGGAAATGTAGCAAACGGCTACTGTATGCGAAGATGAAAACATCATTTAGATCCCTCAGAAGTACTACGGCGAACTAAAAAAATTCTCACAAAAGATTTGCAGGCATGACGATCTTTCACAAAGACTAGAACCTCAGTATCCGGCGACTGAAAAATGAGAAATATGGCGCAACGTGAGTCTATTCTTCTAAATTCAAAAATGCCTGTAAAGGCATCTTGAATGAAGCATAATACAACTAGTTGAAACTAATTATATGTACTTGCTTTGTTGAGAGGTGCTACGATCTGGGAAAGGGGAGGTGTCAAAATCCATTTTTTTATTACAAAGTTTTGTCAGAAAAAGTTGCGACCATAGTTCTTAAAGAAGTTGTAACGCCCCACGATCTGTATAGGGTTGTTTGGATGAAGAGGCACTTTCGCATGCACGGACCTAGGACGGTGTCGGTGAAGATAGTCGGTGTCATTTCCTCTCACTATCGCCGACCTCCTTCCTGCAACTTACCGTAACGCTCGCATTTCTCTCTCTCCCTACGTCAGCATCTCTCTCGGTCTTCCCCTGCGGTTGCCCACAGCGCTGCGTTCCCCGCCGGTTGTTTAGATAGCATGTCAGTGTCAACTTACCATCCAGAAAGATTGCTCCCTTGTTGTGACTCATCTCCTTTGTGCAATTAAGTACTATTATACGTATTCATATTTTCTATTCCTCCCAGTATACCTTACTGCCTACCTGAAGCTTCTTCTTCCCTTGCGTGTGGATGAGTATTGCGGCATGTTTAAGTCTCTGTTCAAATCAGTCTTAGTAAGAATCCCTTCGGTGTTTGCTACCCTTGCCGTCTTCGACCACTACAAAGTCGATGGCAACGAGATATGCAGGTGATTATTTGAATGAAATTTAGGATTCACTCTTACACCGGACAAACGTCTCGTTTGCAATAAACTAACGGTTCTCGATATCAACGCAAAGTATTCAAACATGAAGCTACGACTTACCCACGGCCTTAGTGCTTGGATTGCTAGCGATCTCGGACAACTTATTTCGTTCATCCGCAGACATTTCGGTGAATTAAAACATGCTCAAAATTGCACTTTATATTTATTTCTCATTTTGATAAAATTAATGTAAGTTTTGGTCTTAATCTCCTGATAACTTGCTAAGTGCTGCAGGAATTCATTTAGGATACTTCGAAAATGATTTTCTATGTTTGATTTCGAGGACGAATTTTCTGTTCATGGTCATTTAAGGGACCATTCGATAATATCTACGTCGTCTAACAGTAGGTCTAACAGTAGGTCACTATCTGGTGTTCCTCTACGTGATTTATGGGGAAGACTGCGGTTCATGCAGCATGCACATAATACCACTAGCGAGGTTAAAATGTCCAATAGCCATGCCTGACCTGCTTGCATCGTCCGTGAGTCATACCCAGACATATTCCGCTTAGTCACAGGAGAGCTGAGTTTGGGTGAGCTGGTTATCAGTTACTTCATTAAGACGTTCCAAAAATGAGCCACTTGAGTGAGGCCTGTAACTGCAATTCGGAGTGTTTCTTTGCATTTGTCAACATATTTTTATCACGGCCAAAGATTTCGAAGATTTGCTGTCCAGTCGTTGTCCACGATTATCCAAGCTGAAATAGGGCTGACTGATGACGGCTTCTCAACCGAAAATGATCGGTGGCATAGCCGTCAGTTTTTTCACCTGCATTGCAAGCCCACTTTTACCCTTTCCATACACAAATGTTTGAGCGGATATTGAATGAATCAGTACATCTTTCGTCTTGAAATGAAGTTACTTGGATGAGTCTTACTTACCTCTTTTTCTATTTTTCTGTTCCTATTATCTGTTTATATATAATGGCCGGAAAAAACGCTCCCTTTAAAAAAATTTTTAAGAAGATACGAAAATTACACCTATGAGAGATCCGAATGGGCAAACACAATTAAACTCAGGACGAATTAGGCAGATACAGACAAATAAACCGAAGACTTTCAGATAAACACTTTTGGAAGTCTTAAATATAAGCGATATCTTTCGTCTCTCCCCTATTTACGGGACCGACTGCAAGGACGGCCCTGACTGCAATGCAATCATGTTTAAAGATGACATGGACATCAGGAAAGCATCAAGCTGTACTAACGACACGCAGAAGATACAGAAATTTGTTGATGAGCTGGCTGCATGGTCTTCCGGGTGGCTTTTAACTTCTAATTTATCCAAGTGCGTAATCTTACTATTGGAAGCTTGTTGGAGGCGTTTCCCAATACATTAGTACACTAAAAAACGGATTCCACTAACTAATGTGGATACGCATGAAGATATAGATATCTGGGCAACTTCAAACATGCTACCCTCCGAACACCGCAGTAGAGTCGTCTAAAAGGCAACAAAAACCATGCAGTGGACTAGGCATGCTGTCTTTCGTCTCGAGCTCGTCGCGTGGAGCTTTGTCAATTCCGTTCGACCACAGTTTAAATACGAAATGCCAACATAGATCCCCGATTATGAAAGATAGTGACGTCGACAAGTGAGTGCAGCGATGGACGCGAAAGCTATTGGACGGTCTCTGAACTCCGCCATTTCCTATCAGACTAATCCAGCTGAATGTATTCCCATATTCTATAGTAAAGTAGGATTCCGCTAGCTTACGAGGCACAAATCGACATCTCCCTCTTCCTTGTCTTTGTCCATAATTTTCTATGAACGCATAAATATCTTGACCAACGTGAACGCCGACGTTCACCGTGTGATGCACTTAGTGGGCACAATAACGGTGAAGTACGCATGACTTAGTTTATATAAGCACCAGACGTGCTCAGCATCTGCCACACTCCCTTGACCGTCACCTCGCCAGATTCGGTGGCAGGACGATGTCAGCGCAGCCAGAGTCGTGATCAAGCACAGTGGCTGACGTGGTTAAACAGCACACCGGCGTGTGCCACAGATGACCTGCCAGTAAACAAGCAATTAACCACTGTGAGACCGCCTGCTTACGTTTCAATTTTACCGCCACGGCACAACAGAAGGAACATGGCACACAACGTGGTCAACGAACGCCTCCAAATTTTTCCAAAATTATGCTTTCCCAAGCGATCCGTTCTTGAAAAATAAGGGGATCATTGGTTCTTATTCGACAAGTCTTGGCAATCCATATATGTTTTAAGCCCATTCGTCAGTTTTTCCCCTATGGTTACACACAATTTTTGCCAGTCTGGCCATTGTTGTTCTAGTTATTGTACTCGAATTTCGTTAATTTTTTTGCGTAATGTGCCCATCTTTGAGATTTCTACGTAGTGTCACACCCTTTGTAGTCACCGTTGCAATCACTAGCGTGTTTTATTTCCCTAAAGTAGGAGGTGATTTTGTTTTAAAGATTAAACGTCTCCAAAATGAGCGCCTGGAAATTTATATTTTACCCTCTCCACTAGCTCTGGATATAAAAGCATGACCGAAGATTAAAAAAATCGACTGCTGAAGTTTACACCCTTCTTTAGACATAGCCGACATCTCAACTTGCAAAGTTCTCTTGTCCAGATCAAAACCCTGAATATTTCCAATATACAAGAATACGGAATTGCTAGTTAAAACGAAGCATATTTTTTGAGGTTGAAGATTAATTTCCAAATGGAGGCTTTGGAAGAACATCCGATTTTTTTTAAAAAGCAGACTTACCAGTTCACCGAAGAAACTGCTGCAAAAATGAATATCGGATAAAACGTAAACAGCATTTGATTTTGCGCAATATCTTGACTTACTTTGATGCCCTCGAGGGTTCCTGCGAAGTTGTGCACCGTTACGGCTTCAGATTTAGTCATAGGTGCTAAACCATTATGTCCGTTAAATCGCGATTCCAGCAAGCCAGTAAATGCCTTCTGATATATGGAATATGTTCTCATCCTCTCGATGTGAGGTGCGACAAAGTATTCTGTCGTCAGTGACACTGTTTTGTTCCTCTCGACCGTACGCGCACACTGAGAAAGTTAAAGAACTTGAATACTTCGAAGGCTCATACACATTTTTTATCCCTTAGCATTGTGTAAAACCAGCTGTAGTCAACGTCTACTACATTGTTACACGCTCAAATTCGGCTACTACACTCCCCAACATAGCCCACTTCCAGCTGCCCGCCAGAACTTATGGCGAAGCAGCTAAGCCCTGCGGGCCAATATTTTCTTACATGTTGGCGTTCATCTTCTAAGTGAAACGCAGCCTCTCCCGCCTCCAAGAGCATTCACCACACAGCTGCTTGGCTGGCGAGATCCTAACACGAAGGTTCAATTTGCACAAATGGTCTCGCTTGGTCCTAAGTGTCATATCAACTGGAATATTTTGCAGTACCTTGTACATGGGTTCCCTACGTAAGCGCAGAAATTTTGTAGCAGTGCTCAGTTTTTTTCCGTCATTTCCTTCTGCAAATCCTGCAGTCCTAAACCAAATTCGGCGGTTTTGATGCCAACAAATGTTTGCAGAATTGATCGAGGAAATCAAACCCCATCATCCATGGATAGTTGACCACAGTATTATTGAGTTTCCTCCCAGTAGGAACAGTTTATTCACCTCCTTAGCTCCTTGTTCTAAGTCCTATGTCCTTGGGAAATAAGATGCATCCATTTTAGACCCAGTTGCGTAACACTTGTTATGGCATTGCATTTATAACTGAGAAATGAATAATGTTTTCGGTAGCTGATGCCTAACTGTCTTTCCGGGCCAAATGTAAGTTCGGGATGACGGTCAAGACAGTTGTAATGGAGAAACCTGCATGTTTGTGAATTAGAAACCTTTATTTTTGTTGTTGAACCATCCCAAGCTTTCTATAGTAGTAGATAGCTTTTGGTTAGTAGTCACGACAAAGAGGATGTATTCATTTTTCAGTGGTTTCGTTTACCGCCCAATCAAAGCCAATGCGAATTATAATGTTTTCATCTCGCAGAAATTTCAAATCGCAGTCGGTCTGAAGTTTAGATATCTAGTAATTGCAGGTTACCCCAATATTCCAGAAGATTGGTGTTTCGCACCCTGCGACACTAGGAGACTACAGGTCTTACTCGAAATCATAGATGTATGCATGTGGAATCAGGCCTGTCGGATTGTCCACTTGAGGGTCGAGAATACTTGATTTTCTCTTCTGCAGGGGTTGCCTACTCTTGTCCCCGCAACCTGTTGTTCCCCTCAGCGTTCTAACAATTACGTTGTTGTTTTTTCTCTGGAGTATTCGGCGCTTTTGATGAGTTTTTTACGTGCTAGTGTTCGAAGGTGAAGTGAACCAATGCAATATCGTTGTGATGCTCAGGACCCATCAGAGACTTGAACTCTATAAACCATTTTACTTCTCTCTGCTGGGTCGAGAGGAAGAAAGCGAGAACATTCTAGCAAGCCATCTGAGAAAGTGATCGTATATTTTCTTGTTTATAGCAAATGTGCTCTTCCACAACACCATAAACATAAGATTAAATTAATGACTAACTTGGCTTCTCCTCGAGGTGATGGGAAAACCAAACTGTTAAGTTGTATATCACACGTCAACATTTCTACGTTTCTTGTCCAAAGTATGACCATGCGTGTTAAAGCTAATCTAAGAACGACTTTTATCCAAGAGTACAGAAAAGTCCCGCTTGTCCACGCCCCCAAAAGGCGCCAAGCTGCCGTTTGGAAAGTCTTTTTTTCTGTCCTTAGTAATTTAATTAAAAGTCATAGAGGTACTTCGCGAAAGCCAATTTAAGATACCATAACCTATAGACACTTATCAACACCAATTCCTTTGAAGACACTCATGCCTCACGAAACTCCTGACTGTAGCGGACACAGATATAAAGAAACCAACTCCTTTGAGTTCAGCGGGGTTTTCGCACACTTGTCCAGTTAAGCAGATTCTTTACAACTTCAGTCTACTGATTTGTTAAACAGTACAGTCACTTGAAGTAGAACATTTGCTTGCAAATAGTTGTAGCCTCTGTTAGAAAATTGGCATCTACCGAATTTCCAGTCCATGTTCGCGCTTCATGATGGCCTGCGCTTGGCTTATTTCACAAATATAATACATCGGAACTACCTACCGAGGCTGGTTACGGATCATTCCCTCTTGTGATACAAAAATGATTCTCGCACTGAATCACACTTTAATTCAAGAAGATACCGATCGAACAGCGGAATTTTGTAGTAAATGTATCTATCAACCAGTTTCTTAGCAAATCAGATTGACGTTAGTGACTGAGCCTGAGTGAAGCCTAAATGGAAGCCGTCACAACAAATGCTAGCTCAGTTATAGATTTGGAGACTGTTAGTCTTGCTTGACTGACACAAACGAAGCATTATTAACGAACTGTTGTTCTGGAACTCACTCTGAAACATTAAAATATGTTTGCTCACTTCGGAAACTCAAGAAAGCAACTCATTTTCAATTACTCTGTCTTCTCACTGTGCCTTAGAAGAGTCGAAGAGCAGATGGCACAGGACGTTGTCAGTCACTTCCCGGGATAGGCAACATGGATGCAAGGTAGTTCTCCCAACGCTGTCATGCTCGCAAGTTAGTGAAATTGTTTGAGAATTCATGACATGGGCATCTAACATACGCCCTTCGCTACTGACCCAGACGTTGGGAAAGCCCAGAAATAGACACAGAGCAAAGCGTGTAGTATGGAAAAATGACCCTATTCCATGCAGAAGAAAAAGTTATCCAAAGAAATTAGAGTCCGCCCGTTACAACAAGGTTCGAGATTGATCCACACTTATGCAAAAAAGTATGCATTTCGACGTCAAGCGTCGTGTTAAAATATGTACCACAGACGAAAAACGCTTTGGATAATTCTGAGTGCTTTCACCTACACAATCACGTCTTCCGCTTATCCAAATTGTTTTTGCGCGCCTTCAAACTGTTAAAGCACAAAACAATTATTTTAATTGCTGACTTATTTTTGCTTATGCATGCTTAGACTCGTTTTCCACATCGGCTGGCATGCTCACAGGCATCGCAAAACCACTTTGCTGGTTTCTCTCCTACTTCGGAAAATAAACCAATCGCTTAGCAATCGCACTGCGGCCTTTTTAAGTCAGTTTAAATCAGGGTATAAAGGGAATGAGACTTTCACGCTTGAGCTGCCTATTCATGTCGATAAACAGAAATAGGATTAATTGCTACATCAGCAAATCTGGAAATGCTAAAGTTAACGGTATGTGCAAGTCAAACGCACACTGCCACCACTAGAAATCGGCATTAAATGTACTGTAGCAACTCGGAAAATGAGCGTCTTATTTGCACGTAAAGGATTCAAAAGTTTCGGAGAAAACGACTGAATCAGGGAGTCCGTTCCATGCTCCAAGAAGTCGCTACGGGAAGGCGCTCGTCTGAGTTCGTATTCGGGATCTCCCTGTGCAGTTTAAAGTGATGACCTCACAGGTGGTCTGTCCCAGCCACTATGTAGAATTCGTCAAAGCCCAGGGCGCACTCTCGGCGTCTGAAAATCTGTAGGTTTGAATGGGGTCGACGCGCAGTTGCCTGTAATTGACGGGAAACAGATTTAGTTCGGCCAGCCTGGTTTCTAAGGCAGATGGTCAATATTCTTGAATACCCTAGTAGCTATCGCCCGTACTCTTTCCGGTTGTTGGTAATCTTTCTTCAACCAGGGCCGCCAGGCCTGTACTGAGACCGAACGAATACCCGTAAGTTTTTATGAACAGCTCTTTATTGATCTGCACAAATTCTTGCCTTAGCGTAAAAATACCCTTATCGCACGTTTGGCTGTCCTTTGACACTGTGACGATTGTTCCGGTGAGGTCATTAGGACGCCGGGGCCTTTATGTTTCACAACATTTGAAAGGGGTTTCCGTGCTGATCCTAGAATACGGCTATGCTCTTAAATGCTATAACAATGTTCAGCGTGAAGAAGGAGACACGATCGCCGGGACAAGAGCTTTATTAGCCTGACGTTTCGGATTCCTACTCGAATCCATCATCAGAGACAAAAGAGCAGAAACACCCGTTTCTGCTCTTTTGTCTCTGATGATGGATTCGAGTAGGAATCCGAAACGTCAGGCTAATAAAGCTCTTGTCCCGGCGATCGTGTCTCCTTCTTCAAGACTACTTCCTGGGACTCGGCTCTTCGCTTCTATTGGCAATGTTCAGCGTTTCAATAAACTACTGAAAACGGTTGTATTGTTACTCCAAAGTCCGTGATTTGATGATAATCCCATAAAACGGAAATACTCCGCATGCGACATGCACGAAGTTTTTTAATGGGCTACTATTAAGGAGGGGAAATCAATAACCTACCCGCTGATCTTTTCGGCGGTTGATCGTCCTTATCTCACTTTTTATTTATGATAACATCCGAACTAAGCTCTTTTTAAACCTTACCGCACGAAAAAGTTTTCGCAAGATCGATTGCGCCCGATGTGCTGCTCCTCACCTAAGTAAAGCTTGGCGCAGGGTAATTTCATTCGTGTAACAGTCATACATGACTGTTAGGACTGGTATACACTGCAAGCCCACCCGTAAAATCCCCCACAAATCCAACCCATATGCGGCGATAATGGGTTTACACAATGAAAGTAGATCCATGTTGATGTTGGGATTAGTGCCACTTAAATTGTTAAGGTCAACTTGACGCATGAGGGTTAAGGTAAACGCGTAGTTTCGAGGGCTGAGGTTAGCGTGATATTGTCCGCATTCAGGAATAGGGCTATCCATATATATATATATACATCCGCTGTTAGTTCTCGAATTCACCCCATTCTTGACGTCTCGTTCGCTAAGCATTTGTGATGGCCATAAAGTGAACTGTACTAAACAGAATTACCTATACATTTGACACTTAAAGCGGAGTTAACCCAGATGACCCCCTTATAGGGCGGCCACAAACACGTTAGACGTCGTGTGAATATGGATCACGTTGAACGCGCGTTGTCTCGCGACGTCTCGTTGTCAACTGACACTGCTCCCAAAAGACTTCTGCACTTACTGATAGACGTGCCTATGAGGTTTGGTATTCATTTTGCAAGAGGTAATGGTCGGCAGCCGGTAGATAAGAATCGCATGTATTAAACAGGCTAAGGTAGCTACGATCGAAACAGGCCAAGGACCGTTATGAGTCATAGCGTTTTTAACGTTCTGCCCTGTAGAGGCATATGTACGCATCATCGGTCTTTTATGTGATTCAACAGTATATTGTTAGCCGCAGTTCACTCTGTGTGCCATGTGTGAGGCCGTTAGCTCGGAGAAGATTTACACCCACCCCTTTTTCCGTTGCCCTGATACATTATAAATTGAATATTCCCACAGCAAACTTCCCTGCATGGTACAAGATAATGCCGATTTGGTCTGTAGATTGTAATTCTTGTTTTCTCATCTAACTGCTATGGTTATGCCTTACCGAACTGGCCGCTTTGATGCTGCAGACTATATCCTTTCCGGGCGCTCCGTTATGAGGCAGCAAATCTGGGGAGCTTGACCAAGTTTCCTCTCCAATTTCTGAGACGGAATACTGAACTTCCAAGAACCAATTCTATATTCTGGTACTATTTAGCCTGCGTTTACTAATATATAAGACGTGTTACCCTCTAGCCCAGCATCTGTCCGCCCTGCGAGCCCAGAGTTAGCAGATAATGAAGCAGCCTTGGCCTGTGGTTAGCTGCGAAATAAAAGAGTTCTTGGGTCTGGCGAATAAGCACTGGCGGATCAACAGCTTCAATACTACCAGAGCGCGAAGCGTGGAGGTCTGTCATGCCGAGTGTCTTATAAACTGCCTCAAAGCCCGATGACGGCACTGTGACATGGCGACCATGACCCTTCATAAAATACGTTTGCGTGCAACCACCGCCTTGTCCTTAGGTTCTCGAGTCAAGGCGCTAGAGGAGGCAACCTCTAAAGATTTTGGAAACCACATGAGCGTTATCGTTCCGCGCATCAGCCCCGTTCCTTAATGCATCACCTTAGCGATAACCGACTGATATTGTCCTCATAGTCCATGTTGGCCAGCCGCCTTCTTCGGTGTAAATTTGACAACATTAAATGGTCGGATATTTTTTCGTAGCCGTACCTGCAGTAGGCAGGTCCTAGCCTAAACCCTAACCCTAGCTCCTAAACCCAACCCATACCCACAACCCCTAACCTCTAATCCCCCAACCTTGACCCATACCTCCAACCCCTAGCCCTGAGGATTGTGGCGGTGATTTTCCCTAGGAAGGTGGGTCAAACAAGTGTAGAACTTCCCCGCCGAAGGCAGACACAGAGAGCGAGGATAACAGTTCAGCCATCGAAGTTGAGGAAGTGCCCCCTGCAGTGCTCGAACTTAGCTAGGTCTTCAACAGTAAATTTACCATTTACATCAGGAGCAGTGTCGGTCAGTGCAGGGTATCGACTGCTGAATAAGTTGATGGGGTTCTCAAGTGCCGCCGTGATTCGAGGCCGGCTCTATGCCGGTCTCCGCCTCGACCCAGTATTTTTGCGGTCATGCCTAACCGACTTTGCCGTCATCTCCCTCAGTTATCGCAGAGTCAAGTGCGGGACCTAAGTCGCGTTGTTTGGGTAGACAGCTGGGTGAGTTTGAAAATTTTCCAATCTGCGTTGCTAACCGAGGACTTTTGTGGTGGCCACTCGCTACTGCTTTCTACTTCGAATCAGGCTGCAAAGCTCAGCCGGCTTTCTATGTTGGATATGTGTATTTTTACGACATCAAGGCGTCCTGCATATGAGCAGTCTGGCGAGAATAAAAGACGAACTGTCAGGAGCGTTAAGATGCTAGCATGGTCTGACTTACAGGCGTTGGCAGTTTCCGCGCCACGTATCCATCTGCTGTCGTGAGACCAGCTACGAAACTTTAAACTGACTAGGATGTAGCTACTCTGGCTAACCGTACAACCACCATTTGAATGCCAAGTCAGCAGTGTCGTAATCAAGACTGCCACAAGCACGCGAGGGAGAGAGCACGAACAAAGTAAGACGAAAGAACCAGAACGAATGAATAACCTAGAATTTGGCTCTATCCATCTTGCACCCGACTCATTTAGACCAAAACAAGAAACAAAACAACAGTAAATAAGATATAATTTCTTCAGCGCATGAGTTAGCATGACGAGCAGATGTTTGCGGCAGTACTGAATGCTCGTTCTCGTCAGAGAACTTCAAGAGTTTTCATAATTGTCGCATCGAGAATCAAGTCTAAATCCGCCAACTAGACGGTTATTTACAGAGTCGCCTTGCCAAACCCGACATTCTTGTCCTTAGCACCGATCGCTAGATCATACCGAGGAAGTCTTAGCTACTTCTTGCAGCTGTGAATGGGCATTTTCGTCGCGCTGGTCGTCAGGTAATTTTGGCGCGTTGAAGGAAATGACAGATAAGTTAGTCTAGGGGCCCCTAGGTTGTTCGTAAGTTAGCAAATCATTAACTGACTCCCAAACAGCAATGCATGGTTTGCCTCCTGCGAGAGGTGGAAACCATACCATGTCTGCCCGAAGAGTCGCGTGGACTGCTGTAATAGAGGGTGGAGTGTAAGTTGACTTCCGGATCTCGAATTATCGAGACTTAGAATTGCAGGTTCAAACGCCGTGCAGTTAGCAGACATCCACAGCCCACTGATGGTAACTGCGCGCCCTCAGACATGGATATCAGGATTAAAGAACGTTCGAATGTTAGGCAGTTCAGTATTAGTACTTATTTCTTGATTGAGTGGTCCGGTTCGCATACAATTCGCCTGCACTTCTGGATCAGGGTTGCGGAGCGCGTCAGTTCTCGCAGTTCGAATACAAGCGGGTCTTCGACAGCTGCTCGGATTATGTCTCAGAGGTTGTCTGTCCCCCGATGCTTTGAGTCAATAGGCGAAACGAAGGGCAGCGGTGGTAAATAAACTGATTTGGTGGCGGTTCACTGTAGTCATTTAGCGGTGTCGTCATCAGGTTTTGCCATATATATTTTATGCAAGACCTCAGCCCTCGGCACCCCGGTTCCATACGAAGGATTTTTATGAGCTTCTCTCTAAACCCCTCTTATCCATGGACAGCGTTCTTCGAACTGGCTTGGTAGGATTACACCCACACCACTAACCTGATCTTTACCGTTGTCTTCTATCCTTTAAGTTACTTCACTGATGGAGATGCCTGCTCCGAATGACGGTAATCTACCTTCCTCCTCCGAATCTAAAGATACTGTCGCCACTGACACAATTCAGACGCCAAGCAATTGTTTGCCCAACGAAGCGCCCTGTGATATACCCAAAATTCACCAACAACGGCTGTCCAGTCTTTCAATCTCACCCTCGCAGTTGATGCGCGAGCCTCTGTGTGCCAAAGATTTGGGTCTAGAACCAGATGACCTTCATGTCTTTGTGCTCAGCGATGCTGGAAAACCAATTTATTCCAGGTTATATTTTTATCCTGAGTAGCACGAATAATCATTTTCCTAACTGCTCGACCTTTGGTTTTGTTTTGTTTTGTTTGCCCGAACCGCGTCTACCGGACCTCACCAATATCCATTGCTACTTTTCTGTCAGGTTGGTCAACATTTGCAGATGTGCGGCAACTAATGGCCTGTCACCAATCCGTTTAGCCCTCAGTTCAAAAAAGTTGAATCTTGAAGATCGCTCCTTAACACTCGTTGTCCTGCTTTATTCTTCCTTGTAACGAATCACCGAAGTAAGCCGAAAAAGCCATGGAATAACTGGAACTCCTAAAACTAAAGCCGAACCCCAAAATCCTATCGTAGGATTTGAGGTCGCGAGCTCGACAGTCCTATCAGACGTATGAAAATTAGTCACACAAAGCACCCCCAATCGAATGAAGCCCTGCGGGGATGCGCACGTACCTGGAAATTCAACGTGAAACATAGTTCACTATATCACACTTGTTGGTAGTCGTTAAATTTAATGTAAGGCGTGTTAAAGAGAACTGAATCCAGAAAAAGAAGAAGATGCGATCATTGATGCGATCCAGTGATCGCACCTTCTTCTATTTCTAAACTGCTTCCTGGAATTCTCCTGTTCGCTTTTATCAGCAAAACTGAATCCGCCAAAAATGCCCACAGAATCAGGATTGAATGAATTTGATCGCATGTCTAACTATGGTCAACGGCTTCACCAAACATACCCTGTTTCGCCGTCACGCATGTAACACTGTCCGATGTTTGAGGGACGATTGGGAAGGATCCCCCAGCCTATCCTAAACTTTGTGATTGCTCATACCGAAATATATCGGCCGAACCGTTGGCGCCAGAATACTCGACGCTTGCGTCAAAAAACATCCTTGTATAGCTTGGACCGTGACCACTGCGGGCTGGAGACGGACGTAAGCCCTAAGATGTCTCACCACCATCTCCCAGAAGGAATCTCACACCTCAGTTTCTATGACTCCGTAAGCCTCTCAGGAATCCTCTACAACGCGTTGTTTTTCAAACAACCGTACAGTCCAAGTACCCGATTGTGAAGCCCCTTGATTCCCGCGTGCAA